AAGGAAGGAAGGAAGGAAGGAAGGAAGGGAGGGAGGGAGGAAGGAAGGAAGGGAGGGAGGAAGGAAGGAAGGAAGGAAGGAAGGGAGGGAGGGAGGGAGGGAGGGAGAAAATAATCCACATAGAGTATCTAGAAAATCTGTATGAACAAGTAGTGTCATTTTGTACATTCCACAGGTAGGTTTCTGGCAAAACAAAAATTGCAGCATTGAATTAAGCTAAAAGCAAAATTCTGCAGGAATCAGTGCTTAATCTGCAAGGTCTGGGATCTCTAGGCTTGCAAAAAAATCTTTCATCTGTCTGTAAATTTGGCAAAGCAAATTTACATTAAAAAAATCATGCGTCTTGTATATAATAACTCAGATGTGGTCTCTACAACCTGTTAAATGTTCTCACCTTCCTTTTGACTTTCTGTGGTTTCAGTATTAGTATAAAAACAGCATGGTCTTTGTTAATAAAAAAGCTTCATGGCTGTGACATGTAGAGATGGTAAAAATGGCTTTGTTTCACTAGAGAAGTGTTCTCTTGTTTATTTATCTTGGTGGTGTTTTTTTTTTTTTTCTTCTGAACCTCTGATTTGGAGACAGTGGACCAGTTGACTTACATTGGAGTACATGCATCAGGATATCCTCAAGACAAAACATAAGGCACAGAGCAGTTGCAGTACTTCAGGTGAGGCAAGAACAAGGGCTCCTTTACACTGATTCAAGAAGCCATGGAAAATGTTTAATGCATTCTGGGAGGAGATATCCACTTGTAGAAGTCGTCATGGCAGCCAGTCCCCACCAAAAACAGTATTTTATGGGGTAAGGGAGAGTTTATGGTTCCATAAGGAAATTCCTATGGAAGATTTTTCAAGGGGAGAATTCTATTGCTATAGTTCAACCAGTCTTCAAAAAAAGGGTTCTAATATTTATTCTGTTGCTTTGTTTTTGGAGAGAAGAGGATGAAACTGAGTGAAGTCACCACTTAGGTATGGGAATCCAAATTAAAAGTTGTTAACAGAACAGTGGGTTTTGTTTACTGCATAAGAGGAACCACACGAGTGCTAGTTCCCCAAGTAATTAATGAAAGTTGACCTCATAGCCTTTCATGAGAGAAAAAAGTACATTGTAACATTGTCCCCAGCAATTTTAACAGGGAATCTATCTGATAGTTTACTTGCTTTCCCTAAGGGAAGGCGTTACTTGAATCCAGGCGACTATGGCCAGCTGCCCCATGACTGGAAAATGCTGGAGGAGCGGGAGCCAATTCAAGACTTAATAAGTGTGAGCGTTGCTAACAGCATGGCTGTGGCTATGGGACAGGCAGAGGTCCTGCATCCCTGGGACTTCCCTTCCTTTTGTGAAATACAGAGGCTGTGATGAAAGGCAGATAGCACAGCGTCCATTTCTGGGAAAGCCACAGCTGCGTGCTCCTCTCCCTCCTCCTGCAGTGCTCCAGGAAGTGATTTTGGGTGGGAAGCTAGAACAGGAGCGCCCACTGCCTTTTAAAGGAGAAGTGGATACATCACCTTATTTCTTATGCGTCTTAACTGCACTACTGGAAGCTGCATTGCACTGAATTATGGCAGAATCTGATCCCTACGAAGCTTTATTCGCTCTAGAGGCTGTTTCTGTTCCCTACAAGTTTTCCTCTAAAGAATAATTATTCTTCCACTTGTTTCACAGCAAACCCTTGACACGTGACTGCTGCACCAGGAGGCGCCCACAGCAGGCAGGAAGATTTCAGCACGAACCAACAACCAGGCCGCGCAACGCTCCGCCGAAACACGCAGGCGGCCCCCGCCCGCGGCGGAGCTGCCCCCGCCACCGGGACTCTCCCTCCCTCCCTCGGTGCCCGGCGGGGCGGGTGGCTCCGCTGCCGCAGCTCCCGGCCCCGCGGCGGGCGTGGCGAGGCGGCCGCCCGCCCCTTGCGCCGTGCCCGGAGCCTGGCGGCGGCCGTGCTGACGGCGGTGTTGTGTCTCATCGGCGGCAGCCATGAGGTCGCTGTGTCTCGTCACCGTGGGGGTCCTGGCTCTGACGCTGCTCATCGCCAGCGTCTCCTTGTTGGTGGCGCATGTCTTTCAGACGGTGGTGGACCTGCAGGTGAAGCAGGTGAGAGCTCGGCTGCAGTCCCTCCCGATGGGTTTATTCCTTCTCAAAATAACCCTGAGCAGCAGAGGGAGGGAGGACGGGGATGGCGGAGTGGTACCGTACAGTTCCTTGGTGCCCAAGCGCGGTCGGGTGAGGACCATGCACCTCTCAGCGACGAAACGCCTGGTCCTTTATGGCCGGGGCGGGGCTCGGGTTGGGCTGCATGAAATTAGACAATATGAGTAAAAATAAGCGCTCTGAGACAGTTTTACAGGCTGTGAGACATCTGCTGTGATCTGGCGGAGGGGGGGGGGGGGGGAGATGCTGCAACACACAACAGGGCAGCAGGGAGCACCTGAAGCACTCCTCCTGCCTCCACCTTTGCCCATGTCCATCATATATTTCTGGCAGCTTTTGCCCTGCTGCTCCATTTATTGCAGCCTCTGGAGCAGACGGGCTGCATGCTGTGGTCTGGGGACACCTGTCTTGGCATCCTCAGGAGTGCAGAGGTCCTCCTCAGTTTTTGTTCCTCCCTTATGGTCATGTTGGTCATAAATCCAAATGCTGGCCATTTGGATTTCTGTCGTGGTCAACTGCATTAGTGTTAGAAACTCCCCTACGTATCATGAAAAGCACTCCTCAGTAGCTGTTTTCCCCTAAAGTGTGTGTGAAGCATGTAAATTAACTAATCTTCCTAGTCTGAAGAATGTAATGGCCTGTATTACTCAGAGAAACCAAGAGCACTACCGTATGATGTGACCAGTGCTATTGTCTGGTTGGTGACAGAAATCTGCTGTCCTAACCCATGTGCTGTTATTTTCCTCAAGGCATTGATAGTGGGCATTTCCTCACTGAGAAGCTACAGTGTCTTAAATTAATTTGATTTCATGAGTGCAGTCAGCTTAAAACAAGTTCCAGGTGTTTCTGTTGAGTCTGGAGTGTAGCCAACAGGAGGCCACCATAGGGTGAGCTGAGGTGTGGGCTGCCAGTGTGTCAGCTGCTCTTTAGGAGCTCCTCCTGGCAGTGAAGTGGAGTGTAGCCTGGGTTATTCTGCAGTCGTTCCATCGTCAGCTCATAGGCATTCTGAAAGGCAGAAATGAACTGATGTGAATGTTAATGTATGCAAAGTTTTGTGCAAACCAAGCCATTCTGTCATCCTCTGTATCACAGCAGAAGTTGTAGTTTCAAATATTTCATGGACTTAACACCAAGTGCAGGGGGGTGAAGAAAGGAAAAAAAGGTTTGGTGGGATAGCGTAGGACTGTCAGGAATTAGTTGTGATCCTCCTTATGCGTATTACCTCTTAGCTGCATGCTCCTTACCCTTAGTGGTTGATTATATAAGAGTAAATCGATAGTCACTTGCCAGAGCTTTGGGTAACGCAGGAAACAGTTCCTAGAGCTCAGTCTTTTCCTACTTAGTACTCTGCAGCTCATGCCAGTGTATCTGGGTTGCACAGGATCAAGCATCCTGCTCCCCACACAAGCCAGTGGCACCCTGCTGGCTATCTGCAAGAGCCAAGCATTCGAACTGTGGAAGAACAGCTTTCAGCCCTAATCATTGTGCTTCCTCATCACTCTGCTGATTCTGCTTCTTTCCACGTGTTCTTTATTCCACATGTTTTTCTTGTTTGTGTGTGGCCTAGCAGGTTACTGTCTCTTATGTAACCATGTCTACAGCTTAGAAAATCTTGTACAAATACACAAATCTCAATTTGCCTTTGAAACGCAGCAAGACAAGAGCTTTTTGAATTCCATCACTGCTCTGAAGTCCAGGGCAATGGATGTGAAATGCCATCTCAGTGCTCGTGTGTTTCATGCTGGCCCCTCTTTACCATCCACACCCACCTGCCTTTGGAAGAATTGCAGAAGGGGAAGGAGGTTGTCTTCCACAGGTAGTCCGTACTCCATTGAGGGTTTTCTAGCAGTCCTGCAACAGCACTGCAGTGAAGTAAGTGAAGCAGTGAAGTAAGCTTAATTGGAAGGCTGCATTTTGGACCTTCTGAAGCCCATGTGTATCCAAACTCACAATCCATAGAGCAACGACGATAAGTTGGCTTGCAGTAGGGAATTTGTGTGCCGCATCCTTTCCAGCCAATGACAGGGAGCATGAAGTCCTCCTGGGCTCCTGGAGACAGTGGAAGTACGGGAAGGACAGGGGAATCAGCAGGACATCACACTTCATATTCCCTGGAAAGTCAGCAGGCAATTCTGTAAAAACGAGGACAGTGGGAACACCTTTCTCAGAAAGCATTCAAATTTATTTTCTTATTGTCAGTCTTAGTGTTGTTTTTTTTTTTGTGTGTGAACTAGAATGCTGTGCCAGATCAGATGTCCATCTAGTCCAGCACTGTGAGTTGTTGGGGTAGCACCTGAAACTGATCAAATCATGGGAAAAAAACTGCAATAAAAGAGAGTAAAATAGCTGCCCACAGAATAAAGGCTTGCCTAGCTGCAAGCAATGTTTGTCTTATCATATATATTTGTTGCATGATTGTGGATTTTACTGCCTTAATTGTGCAGTTTATGAACATGACAACCCTTGAGCTGTGTACCTAATGCAAAACTTGGACAATCAGTCCTTGTGTCTTTACTCAAGTGTTCTGTTTATGCCACATATCTTATGCTGATAATTTTAGAAAATGCTTAGTCTTCTAACCCCTTTAAATTTCAATGGGCTTTTGTTGCCAGCAGTCTCTAGAGCTGAATTATTAGGAGCATGTAAGACCCAGAGGGTCAGGGAAGATATTTTATCGCTTGACTTATTTTATATATTGATCACTGTAAGCTTTTGCTTAATGTGAAATACTCTCAGCACTGCTTAGTCTGGAGTTGAGTTGCTCCTTTTGAACAGACAGTTCTAAAAACACAGGGTCAGAGAAATCTGCTTGTGTTGGCCTGAACATTTACCCTCTTGCTTCCCTTAAGAAGTTGTGATTCAGTTCTGTCACAGATGGATGTATTGTCCTGGAATTAGATCATTTTGCAGTTTCAGGAAAAAAACTACTATCACCAGCAGTAAAAATTACATTTTGGAGGAAAAGCTCATTTTATATTTCCTCTTTGTGATCTGAGGCTAAGGCAAGGAAACACCAGCAAATGGACTGTTACAGTAAATAAAGCCAGGGGGACAGATGTTTTTGTTGTTTGAAATGAATATGGACTCCACTGAGAAACAAGAAGCTGTGCAGCACAGCTATGTGAGGACACAAGATCATGTAGTGCACTGCTTTTAGGTGCTGGTCTTGCAGAAGGTGCATCATACGTCTCTGTGAGACAGCATCTCAGAGTCTCAGGCCTTCCTGGGCTACTGCCTGCAGGACTGGAGTCTGATCTGAGGGTTCTGAATGCTTTGTACTTCTGCATGTATCAGGAGGGAAGGACTGAATCTCTGACAGTACAGCAACAATAACTGCAGGTGAGGCTGTATCTTTTACATATCTTTAGATTAAAGAGCAGTCATGTAATCTAGTATTTTGCAGCCTGCCTGTCCTAGTAGTGACCACAACCTCTGTCAAAAAAATGATCCCACGCGTGTAATGTCAGAGGCTCCTCTGCTGTGAATCAGTCAGCAGAACTAAACTCGGCTGGGGGCATGGACATACGTTTTGTTCAAATATGAGCTCATAATTTTTCTCTTAGCACTGGGCAATGTAGTATCGTGTGGCAGATGCAAGTATTCCTGGTAACATTTGGTGAAAAACAGAAGAAAAGAGCACACTGTATTTTGTTATTTGAGAATTTTATGGGAATATATCTAAGTCCTGCTCAGAAGTTTGTGAATCTGGGTTTACACTGCTGCTGTCACTGTGCGGAGCTAAAATTAGTCCCTGTCATTTCTGTGGGAGATCCAAGCAGTGTTACGCAGATCCAGCAAATAAATCGCAGTAGGACAGTGTTTCACTGCCCTTTTGCTCTGTACTTCATCTCCCAGGGGATCGCTTAAAATTCAAAATCTCAGGAACATGAAACTGGAATTAATATGACTGGGGTTCACTTTTTTAAAAAGTTGAACATTTAGACTGAGCAATCTCTCATTTTAGTTGCCTCATGTGAGAGCAGTTTGAGCAGTAAATAGGTGCTCTGATAATGCTTACTAGTTCTTGGGGAATAGTACTCATTCCCAGAGGTAAGGTCAAGATGGGTGTGAGTAGTCTGATACAAATATTGGTGCCACATTCGTACTCAATTGTATTTCATGCACGTGGGAAATGTGAGCTGTGTACGACTTAGAAAGGGGACTGACATCAGTAGGGTGCTACACCACTGCCTCTCAAATAACCGACTGTGCATATGGAGAAAAAATATAGCGGTCATTTCTGGATTCATTAAATACAATGCTGTGTCATTCCCAGCCCTTTCTGGCAGTGTCATGGAAACAGTATGCCTGATTTAATGAGATTTTCTATTTCTGATCCTACAAACCAACTTCGGGAAGGCTCAGTCTGAATATAGGCCTGAGCCACGTTGGCATAAATTGCAAAACAGCAGATCAAGAGCATTGGATTGTGTAGGAAACAGTGGATGTGAGGAAGAAGAAATGCACAAAGCACCTGAAACATGGCTTGCATTATTTGTGGCATTTGTAGAAAATGTGGTGTGAAATCCTCAGAGGAAAGCAGTCTGCATCTGCAGAATACTACTGGCTGGATGGGCTTACTTTGCTATTCAGGAATACTGCTGCCATTCCAAGCTCCCGCCAATGTGTGGTTTTTTGTTTTTTTTTTTTTTT